AGGGTTGAGTCACGAGTCAAGACACGAAGGTCCAGAGTCGAGTCACGTAAGTCCAGGGTTGAGTCACGGGTCAAGACACGTAAGTCCAGGGTTGAGTCACGAGTCAAGACACAGAAGTCCAGGGTTGAGTCACACAAGTCGAGACATGAAGGTCCAGAGTCGAGTCACGAGTCGAGTCACAGAAGTCTAGGGTTGAGCTTATCTCTACACTGCTATAAGTCCGGGCGAAGCCATGCTGCACCATCATGTCTGACATCTCTCTGTAAATGCACTTGTTTCTTTTTGCACCGTCTGTGAACCCAATCAGAGAGGAGGTGGAGGTTCAGATGTAGTTTGCAGATTTGCTGTGCAGGTCATCCAGTAGCTCCGCTGGCCAATCTATGGCTGCTGTCTGCTCACATCGAAATCAGCACCTCAGAGCAGTCTGCTTGGAACCACAAACAAGGTGGTCCCATAAACTGGTCTGAATGGGGATGGGTACCGGCAGTGGGCAGGCCCTTAACTGGTGTGGTGCAGAACTGAGAAGAGTACAGTGGCGAAGCACCATTAGCTCCAGATAGCTAGCACCCACTTATGTTGTAATAAGAAAGATTGGGTGGTTATTTCTAACACAGTTATTTATTAGCTCTAATTGTCATAACTCTAAATATAAATTTTAACTCATTTTTTGGATATAGCACTGGATCAAACCCAACCCTGCTGAGTAAAATCTTCACAGGATTAATTAAATCCAAATTTACCCCAACACTGGCTTACAGATTGGGTAGTTTATAACCCAGCAGTTTTCAGTGTGTAGAATATCAGAGATGTTTATAGGTGGAAGCAGGGTGGTGCACCACAAGGATGGCTGGGCATCAGAACACACGGTCTCTTCTTGACCTGTACTGTCGTTTTGCCCCAGTCTCAACTTTCTGCACCAGCAGAAGTGCTTAAATGGGTTTTGTTTGTTTTAGGGGGTTTTTTTTTTCAACTCTATTCTGACGCTAACATATTACTCAGCAAAATTGTCCGACTTCTCAATCCCATTCATCTCTCCCACTTTTCTATTGTTGACATCCATAGACTTTTAATCACTTTGGCTGTTTCTGAAGGAAACAAGCACATGAGGTGGCATCAGGTAACAAATATTTAATTTAGGGACACGTTAACCATCGATGTGACAGAAACCTTTTTTTCCAGATTTTGTTTTTACTTAAGAATTTGAATATGATTTTTTTTTTTGTCTGTTTGTTTATCAGTTTATAACTTTGCAATGAGTACCAAAAACAATTAAAAGAGCACATTGAACACGATAAAATAAAACTCCACAGCCAAATGAAAAAACTGAGATTTTTAAAAATTACAATCAAAACAAAACCATTTGCTTTGGTCTTTCACTGGCCAACATATTCCGTGTAAACAAACCCGTGATGGTTGTTGAGCAATCTGTGCGCAGCGCCTGTGAAAGGAGGAAGCTGATTGGTCGGCGGCGGTGGGCGTTTCCGCCTCCTGCAGGAAGTGCGCTGCCAGAGGAGCGCAGGTTGTGGAGCAGGAGGGGCAGTCGCGTCTGTGAGGAGACCCTCTTGAGTCATTCCCAGGGGGAGTCCAGGATCTAAAGCCAGGAAGCAGGAATGCCTTACATACTGATCAGTACGCAGATCCGACTGGTGTGTATCTTAAATAACTTGTCATGCTGTGCTCTTTTGATGTTTATTTACCTATTTGCAACCTGATCCTCCTTATCAATCAGTGTAGTTAGTAAAAAATATATTATTCAGCATGTCAAGGAAATCATGAAGCTCAAAAAGGACTAAGTAGCGGTTTTTAAATATTTGTTTTATTTGCCCTAAAATAAAAACACATGTGCGTCTCCCTGCCTCTTTGGTTTCTCATGTTCATTTTCTTGCCTGCACGACTCCATGAGCCTAATTCTATAACCCTCGAGTATTAGATGATTTATTTTTAGCCTGTCCAGATATTACAGATCATTATCCTGCTGCAGGGGTAGCCTGGGAAATGCAGCCAAGTCTACACAAATGAGACCATCAGGTCCTTTTTTGTTAACCGTTATAATGTGCATACACTTCTGTCTTTCAGGAAAGTGGCCCAACAAATGTAGGAGATGAATTTTCGGATCCAGCTGTCATGAATTACCTGGGAGCGAGAAAAACAACCATGCTGGGGAACAACTTGTGAGTACTGAAAGTTGGAGCAGCCATGGTGGTTTGTGGCAAAGTAAACGCTGCAGATATATTTAAATGTGCACAGTCCCGAAACTCCATCTCCATCATCACCATTACAAACAGGGGAAATTGAGCTGCAACGACGCAGAGGGCTACACACGAGCAGATTTAGGCAGGTGTGGTGTACATGTGCTCTCACGGGGACATTTTTCTCGATTTTGACAGTTAAAAGCTGGTGTTTCTTTCGCTTTGGCTCATGAAACGCACATATTGACAACAAAGCTGAGGTGAAATCAGTTTGGAGGAGGGGGAAATGTGATGGAGGAAAGCCTCTGCTTTGTTGGTTTGCAATAAACCATTCAAGCTGATGGAATACAGATCTGGGACGTGTTGTCGTTGGCAACCAGATTCAAATCCTGCTGGGAAATGAACCAAGGTGTGGAAGGAAATGAACGAGCACCAGAACATTTGACGGCGAGCAAAGTTTACTGAACGATATCCCATATTTGTGGAAAGCCGGATGACTTTGTTTATGCTTTTCTTTTCTTTTTTTTAGTTCTGAGTACCATGTGGACGACCCGCCTCGTTTGGTGCTGGACAAGCTGGAGAAGATTGGCTTCCGTGTGCTGTCAATGACAGGGGTGGGACAGACGCTGGTGTGGTGTCTCCACAAGGAGACGGAGTGACTGATCGTGAAGCAACAGCATCAAAACACCTTTTGTCTTTAAAAACAAAATGAATTTTGCACAAAGCTTTTAATATCTGTAACTTGTTATGGCATGGACCTTAAAGAAAAGTTTAGGGTTCAGATTTCAGACTGAAAATGTCAGGTTGCCAAGTTCAGAGAATATTAAGACGCATCCTCTGCTGGGGAGTTGTTTATGACTCAATACGGCTTCATTCTGATATAAATAAAACTATTTGTACCTATAGATCTTTTTTTAAATAATTTTTTTTTCATCATTTTAAACATTGATGATTAATTTATGACAAATCATTTGTTTAGCTTTGTCCCACAGAATAAAATGTACTAAAATTGGAAAAGTATTTCAGCCATCTATGTTGTAAACTGGTGCACCAAAATAAATAAATAAATAAACATCCCAGTGTTACAGAAAGCACATTAATTCAATTGAATTCAGTTTATTTATATAGCACCAAGTCACAACAAAAGTCATCTTAAGACACTGAACAGAAACATTCATATATATATAAAACGTAAGTAAATAACATTATTTATCTGAGGAGCAGACTGCTTTGAGTCTAACTTTATCATCGAATCTCATCTTGAGCAAGCATGAAGGTGACAGTGGAAAGGAAAAACTCCCTCATGAGGAAGAAACCTTTAGCAGAACCAGGCTCAGGACAAGTGGCCATCTGCTTCGACCGGCTGGGTTTGAGAGGAACAGGAAGGAGGAACAGATACACAATGGCAGATCAAGAATCACATGTTAAGATAGAAATAATATCAAATGAAAACGGTTCATTTTAAGAAATGAGGTCAATTTGTCCTCTAGTAGTCTAAGCCTATTGCAGCATAACAAGCCAACCCTAACTGCTGCCAGCCAAGTCGCAGCCAAATTCTAACCAGACCTGCTGCCTCACACATGACACAACTTCCACCTCCATGCTTTATATATATAATTATAAAAAATAAAAAAGGTCCTTGCTTGTTCTGTCACAAACATATTGTTTGCATATGCAAACACGACAGTTCCAGTGCATGAAATCTGATATGGTGGTGACTTCAGTTATCTTTTGCAACTGGTGTACCAACAGATCATTCTCCCCTGCTGGTTCGCATGTAGCAGCACATGCCACTGTGTGCTTAGGGCAGCTTTGGTGGTGAATATGTTTCCTGTAACTGTATTTCCTTTGTTGCAATTCAAACAGTCTTTTTTCACATCGCTGGTATATTGAAAAAGGATACACATAAACAAAACCACATTATGAGGGAATTTTGCAGGAGGAGAGGAGCAGATGTCTCCCATCGCACCGCTACACAGCTGGACATTGTGCAACAGAGCCATAGAGAGGCAGCGCAGGAGTGGCAGGGGGATACACGACTGGATTGGACGTGGTGAAGCTTCCATATGCTCCTAAATAAAACAAGATAAACCACACACCCAGGCCTGTAAATGTAGACACGGCAACACACCATAAAGACAACAAAAATAATATCTTAGCAGGACAGATTTTTAAAAAGTGATTACAGTACACTGACAGTGAAACAGGGTTACACAGGAATGTGGGTCAACAGTAGCGCGTCACTTCACAGAACATAAAGAAGCCATAAAGCTGCACAATCTTCCACATACAGAGCATCCAGAAAGTATTCATAGCGCTTCACTTATCCCACATTTTGTAATGTCACAGCCTTCTTCCAAATTGTATTAAATTAATTTCTTTCCTCAAAATTCTAAGTACAAAACCCCATTATTACAATGGAGCTTTAGGCCACGCTAAAAAAAATAAAAATAAAAATACATTGCCACGCTAAGAAATAAAAAAAAAGCCATAAAGTTACGAGAATAAAGTCGTAATTTTATGCGGGGTTCTTAGCGTGCAATGTATTTTTTTGTTGCGTGCCCCTAAAGCTCCATTGTACATTGACAATGTGAAAAAAAAAAAATATATATATATATATATATATATATATATATATATTTAGATTTTTGCAAATTTATTGAAAATAGCAAACTAATGAATCACATTTACGTAAGTATTCACATGTAGCCTTTGCTTAATATTTTGTTGCGCCACCTTTGGCATCAATGACAGCCTCCAGTCTTTTTGAATATGAAGCTTCAAGCTGAGCGCTCTGATCTTTAGGCAGTTTGTCCCATTCTTCTTTGCAGGACTTCTCAAGCTCCATCAGGTTGGAGACGTCTGTGCAGCCATTTTCAGATGTCCCCAGAGATGTTCAATCAGATTCAAGTCTGGACTCTAACTTGGCCCCTCCAGGACCTTCACTGAGTGGTCCTGAAGCCCCTCCTTTGAGATCTTGTCCATGTGCTTTGGGTCGTTCTGCTGAAAAATGAACCGTCACCCCAGTCTGAGGTCAAGAACACTCTGGAGAAGGTTTACATCCAGGATGTCTCTGTACATTGCTGCATTCATTTTTCCCTCTATCCTGACTAATCTGCCAGTTCCTGCTGCTGAAAAACATCCCGTATCATGATGCTGCCACCACCATGCTTCACTGTAGGGATGGTGATGACCTGGTTTCCTCCAAACATGACGCCTGGCATTCACCTTCTGGAAGTTTCTCCTCTCTCCACAGAGGAACACTGGAGCTCTGACAGAGTGACCATTGGGTTCTTGGTCACCTCCCTAACTAAGGTCCTTCTCCCCTGATCGCTCAGTTCCTGGTGGTTTCAAACTTCTTCCATTTTCAAATGATGGAGATCATTGAGCTCACTGGAATCTTCAAAGCAGCAGAAAATGTTCTGTATCCTTCCCCAGATTTGTGCCTGAACACAATCCTGTCTCAGAGGTCTACAGACAATTCCTTTGACTTCATGCTTGGTGTTTGTGCTCCGACATGCACCAACTGTGGGACCTTCTGTAGACAAGTGTGTGCCTTTCAAATCAAGTCCAATCAACTGAGGTTACCACAGATGGACTCCATGTAAGTTGTAGAAACAGCTCAAGGATGATCCGTGGAAACAGGATGCATCTGAGCTCAATTTGAGCTTCATGTCAAAGACTGAATACTTACGTAAATATGATTTATTAGTTTCTATTTTTAATAAATTTGCAAAAATCTAACAAAAAATATCACATCGTCATAATGGGGTATTGTGTGTAGAATTCTGAATAATCTGTTCTTTATATTTTATACAACACTATAAAATAATTTTATTTCAGCTGTTTCTCAGCAAGTTCTTCTGGAGTAATTATTCACACTGCATTTTCACAGGAAAGGCCATTGTCTAGTTCAAAGTGTATTTATGTAGATAATGCTTTGGGAATTATACATGACATGATGTTTTATTATATATTTTCATAAAGGACGGGTGCAATTCTAAAAAGGACAACCTATCTGAAATTTTGATTCATTCTAATCACACTAAGTTTTGATTTCCTCACCTTGGTTTAGAAATTAGTGGAACAAACATAAATCTGGATTTTACAGCAATCAAAGCTAAAACTGAAATTTGGGGGAAACAATAATAAAAACTCATAAAAATGTTCTCATCACTCAGATTTATGTCAGAATCCAGATTGGCTCGTCTAAAATCCAAACACAGAAAACATTTGCTTTAATTTGAACAGAATTTTATTTTTTTGTTTGTTTTTTTAAATGAGGGCTTTGCAAAGATTTTGTGTAAATATTAAGGAGCATATTGAGAACATAAATGCTTGGAGCTGACTGAACAGCCAACATGTATTTATGCTGATCAGGTCACAAGGCTTCCTTGGTCTTGAGCAGAGATTTGAAAATACGGTGCACAAAGCCAAGGCGAACAATCATCTAAAACCACCAGATCTGAAACGGCGGGCCTCCAGAGTGAGTTCACGTTTCATCACGAGGCCACAGGAATTCCATAAAAGTTTACCTCATGTTTCAATCCCAGCCTGATTGCTGGATTAAAATGGGGCACAAATGATTTGTCTGTGGTTTGGAAGGCTACCGTCTTATCTCCAAGAGTATCTGATCATCAGGAAAGATTGTCACATTACATACAGCTTGTATGATTAGAGTAATAAAGTAATAATAACTTGTCTCATTTAGACAAATAATGGGTGACTGGTGAAAATGTCATCACTGTATGGCTTTGATTACATTTTGTGTTGCCCTTTATCTCACAGAGTCACGTATATTCTCAACTGATACAAAAAACAACGGATTTTCTTTCTGTCAAAAATGGTTTATTTGCCACACATCATAGTACATTTAATAAACAATAAAAAACTAAACGCATAAGAGGCTTTATGAAACTAAAGCCTGAATCTTTATCTGTCTGCTGCCGCCGAGCAGGATCTCCAGGGGTTAGGACTTGGCACTTTCCTCCTCGTCTTCTCGTTGCATTTGCTCTATGAGCCTCTGACGCTCGGCAGCCTGCCTCATCCTCATCATCACCACGCTCTCGTAGTCGCGCTCGTTTGACAGGGAAGCCTAAAGGAAACACAGACGGGCGACGTCAAACAAGGTAACTAAAGCAAATAAACTGATCGGTAGAGGAGTCCTTTATTCATTATCCTAGGATGACGTCTATTGAGACGTTCCATTGGGAAGTCATAAAAAAAAGCTAAACATCTGTTATAAATATTGTGACAACACTGACTTAAAGCAGACACTATGAAAGAACCACCGTTAATGTCCAATGTCTGTTTACTATCTCAACCAGGCCTTTGAGAGCAGAGTGAGTCCGACAGATGCTCTTATCTGAGGTGCTATTAGCATGATGACAGGGCGATCATGTAGGAGATAGCAGCCCAGCGAGAAGCAGTAACATCATAATGTTGCAGCTTCGAGGCATTCAATCCAGAATATGGACTCGAATGGAGCTGCATGGCCTTTCAGTTTGTCTCATTTGTTTGAAGGACTACTGCTTATATGACGGCAGGAAAAAATTTCTCTACCTGCGAGACAAATCACCAAGAGCAGACGTCGGCTAGCTAACTGCTAATCAAGCCGGCTGCAGTAGCATTTGTCACACATTGAAATGTTGGCACTTCCAGGAAGAAGAGAAAGAGAAAAATTATGAGCATTTTCATTGACCGACAATCCTTTTTGTAGAAGGATGAATGTTTGTCTACAGAGTGATTTTTTTTATTATCATATCCATGTTTTCCAGGCAAATAAAACATGTTTTCAACAAGACAGAGAATAGGTGTTAATTTAAATGCTGCTAACGACTGAAACTATCTGATTAGAAGAGGTTGCGTTTTTATCAGTGCACTCGCAGAGCCAAGGCATCTGGAAAACATCACTGGGACTCCACTATCCCTGCGCTGAGCGACAGAGGATAAAGTGTGAAAGACTAGAGTAAAGGGGTCTGCAAAAGGAAGTTGCCCCCCACTCCACCCCTGGATTAAGGAAAGCTGCTATTATCATTCCAAATTTGTGAGCTCAAGCCCTTGTCTGACACGCAACTATGAAATACCACCATTAGGTAAATAAACAACTTTTGTACCTTCATGATAAATAGAACATTAGCAAGTAAGCAAAAGGGTTTGGTGTCCTTCCTGTACAGAAACTATATTCCTGCTCTAGCCTGCCCTCTACTGGTCAAAACATTAAAGGTGTAAAAATCCTGCATTTATTTTCTACAAGTTGTGCCCAGAGGCAGAATAAATGCCTTGAAGGGGGATTCTGATCATTTACAGGTGCTTCATGAGCGATGGGACACATCTCTTGGGATGAGCAATGTTTCCTTGCCTGGGGGGTTAACTTACAATGGACATGTTTAGCCAGTGCATCACTGTAACTAAAGCCTCCGTGTGTGCATTTTCATGCGTGTCAGTGTATGCTTGGTGCTGTAATGCAGGGGCCCTGCGTGAGCTGGAAACCACAGAACACAAACCATGGGCCCCCTGTGCAAAGCCGAGGAAGGAAGGCCACCACAGAAGTAAAATGATAGTAAAACACAAACATACATGCAAACAAGCTGAGGATTAGCCGAATGACATCAGCGCATGGCTGAACCTCAAAACAGCACGGCCCCCACCTCCGTCTGATTCCAGGCCAGTTAGGACATATTGAATACCACCAGCTCTGAGTCAGTCACACGCACACACCGACACTTCATCCCGCACACATCAGGAAGCACCAGCGCAGGTGGCCGCAGTGTTTCCCGAACACAAATCGTTAGACCGGCTTCACGTCTCGCCACTCGTTTCAGTCGTGTCAGCACATGTGTCTGTGTGATTCAGCTGATGGGTTAGAACATACGATGAGATGGCATCTTTGGGTTTTACAAATATTTCTAGTTAAAATACCTGCCGTTCCACTTTCTTAACCCTGCGGCCTACAATCTGAATTTGATAAATGGAGTTCTCGTTAGCACCAGCAGTCATCACACATCGCGTTGTGCCAAGAAGTGACAAGACAGACTTCCAAGAGAAGAATGTTTTTTTTTCCCCTAACAAGCCTGCTCTGTGTTTTAGGCCAACATTTCTGTCTCTAATGTGCTGTGGTCAAGTTAATCAAGAAACTATTTATCTAGAGTATGTGCGGTGGCACAGTGCGTATTTCTGTTTGTCACTGATTTCTGGAGTATTTGATTTATGAGGGGGCAAACACTTATAGACTACTATTTAGAGCTTTTTTTTTTTTTTTTGTGAGGGAGTCCGAGTGCGTGCAAGTACCAAAGACCTCCTGTTGACTCGAAACGAACTGCACCATTTACCACTGGAGCCAAGGTGAGAATCCCCACACAGATAAAAACTTAAGCTTCGGTGACGGTTGAGAATTAATCATGATTCATTACAAGACTCCGCAGACGCAAACAACCACAAAGCTTTGGTCATTTACACTGTTTTTGTTAGGAGAGAGCAAAAACTTTACAGAGATTAAGTCCCCAAGATTTATTTTAACCCTTGCATATTTTCATATAACGGCACAAGCACTTTAAAGCACTTTTAGTACCTTCACAAAGACGTTTAGTCATTTAATAAATTTACTGTAAATAAATGGACTGTATTTATATAGTGCCTTTCTTTCTTATCAAGATACTCAAAGCTCTTTACACTACAATCTGTGCCCTCATTTACCCATTCATACAGCACTCTACTGGATCTATACAATGAATAATCAGTACTTTATCACATTCATACACCGATGGGACACACATCGGAGGCAATGAAGGGTTCAGTGTCTTGCCCAGGGACACTTCGGCATGTGACTGCTGGGGGAATCTAACCCCCAACTCTTGCATTGGAAGACGACTGCTCTAACCACTCAGCCACAGCCGCCCAAATATTGAGATATCTACAGTGTGATATGCTACAGTTAATACAAAGTCTGTCTGCAACGAAAAAGGGGACACTCGGGGTTGTTATTTTCTCAAATTTCGTCAAGTTTGGAAGTGCTATAAGGCAATTTCTAATCAATTGGAGTTAGGTCTGTCGCGATAAACAATAAATCAATTAATCGCATGATAAATGAAAATTATCGACCTCATTTTCATTTATCAGCTTTGTTGTTTCTTCGTGTCTCTTTCTTTCTACTGAAGACACTGGATGACAAAAGGCTCAACTCTGGTGCTCTTCACTGACCCCTCCATTTCTCTTTTCTCTTTAAAATCCATTTTAACGATCCAAAATCGCATTTTTGGATCGTTAAAAGCAGCTAAGCTGAGAAGCTAAGCTACGAGCTAAGCTAACAGGCTGACCTCAGGAAAAAATCTCCGTCTTGCCGAAGCTACAAAATTTACGGCCGACACCCGTGCCTTCGTGTAAAACGGGGTGTCAAACTCAATTACAAAAGGGGGCCAAAATTAACTTTTTTCCAAACTAAGGGCCAGTTTCAGAATCTACATTAACTCAAGTTAGATACCAAACATCTTTTCTTGGTTGCAGGTTCCTCGTCAAGAGTTTGATTGGTCTCATTTGACGTTCTCTGTTGCACTTTTGACATCATATTCAAAGATTACCCCCCAAAAACAATTAAATTGATAAAAGTATTTTACATTTCAAATAACATCTTGAGGGCCAGATAAGATGTCAACGAGAGCCACATTTGGCCCCCGAGCCTTGAGTTTGACATTTACACTGTAAAAAGTTGTTTTTCTCTACAAAAAGAAGCTGAGAACTTATTTACAGATTTTTTATTAAAAGCTTTGTTTGAAAAATGCTATGCTAAAGAGCTCAAACCACACCAAGCGTCCACCATTTTGAGAACCGAATAAAGGAAGGAGAGATAGCCCATGTCACATCAAGACACCTCCCTCCCATTTTTCTTAAAGAGACATGCTGCTCGCTCCCTCACTATCCATCCTTCAGTTTAAACAGTCTTATACTGCCATACGGTGGTAAAAAAGGTACTAAATTCAAAACAAATAAAATTTCTTCTTAAATTTGACAATAATTACTAATTATTGTCAAATTCCAAACAATATTATCACTTATCGCAATAATTTCTGAGAGAATTAATCGCCCAGCAAAATTTGTTATCTTGACAGGCCTATTTGGAGTTTATAATTTTACTAAGGCAAAAAGGATGCACAAACCTTCAAGACAGAAGCTACTCCTACCAGGAGTAGAAGTTTTAGGAACTTCTTCTGAAGCTCAGACTGAGCATTGATCAGGGGGAATGCAGGAAGAAGAAGAAGAAAAGGAAACCAACATGTCAGACTCTACAAACCTCACTTATCAAGATAAATGTTAAAAGTTCACAACTGTGCAGTTTAAACTGAACAAGTTGGGTTTATATGGAAGGACTGCCAGGAAAAAATATATTCACTAACAAGAATATGGCAGCACAGCTTGGGTTTGCAACGCTGTATCGCAACGAACCACACAACTTTTGGAACAGTGTTCTTTGGTAACAGGAGACCAAACCTAAGTTGTTTGGTCAAAATGATTAGCACCATATTTGAAGAAAACCAAACACGTGGCCATGAACTTTGGGGTCATCTGTCTGACAGTTGAAGCTTCTCCAAAACGGAGAAACGTAATGAGACGATGGACAGTCATACCACGAGAAAGTAACAATGGGATGGCTAAAAACAAGAAGAATCAAAGTGCTGCAACAATCCACTTAAAGTCAAGACCTCCACCCAAATAAGTGACTGGTAAAACCTCTAAGAGATATAAATACTTGTAAGCATAGGAGAAACAAGACGACGTAAAGTAGAATGAGCCAAATTAATTCCAGTGACGTTTCAATATGAATTTTAAAGTGTCATAATGTAATGAATTATATGTTGTATACGTAATGTAATTATTCAATTTACAGACCTCGTGATGATTTTTAAATATGCCATAGTTTGTAAAACTGTACAACTAAAAGAAGGTGTACCAATGTTATACAGGATACCAAATCTTCAAGGATTGTAGTAATTGAATGAAAACGGCTTAAAAAAGGTACAAGTCGAAGTGAGTAGACCGCAAGTTAAAAACAAAGGGTCGGGAGTCTTAAAGCTGCCATTTTATTAGAGGTATGTTTTTGTGTGTCCAGCATGTGGTTGTCAGCGGTCACTGTATTCATCAGAACAGACGTCTGCTATAAGAAAACGGAGATTGCCTTTGGAATCTGCAAGAGTACAAGAAATAAACACTGAAAAGAAAAATGACTGCAAAGACCTCCTGGACCTGGACTGGCATTTCTCTTTATGATGGATGAACTTAAAACCATGAAAAAAAATTGAAACGCGTGAGGTTTGGCCTGTTTTAATCTCCAGCAGCACATTTTTAGAAAAATAAAAAATTGTCTCTCATATCCTAGCCTTCCTGGAAAAGCTCACTGATTGCAACAGACTTCTTGTTAAAACAAATGAATACAGTCTGAACCTTGGGTGACGTTGAAGGGGAAAAAAGTTGTCATTAACTTGTTTTTTTTAGTATTATAATTGTACCATTGTGACCATTCACATATTGTTTTAAAGGTTTTACATATTTAGGATTCAGCTTTTGATTATCCTCACTGAATAAAAAGAAAATAAAGTTATTTTATAAGTTGCACCTTTATACAAACATTTTACCAACAATCTCTAGATGGCAAAAAAAAAGACATTATGATGCTTAAAAATTGTGAACGCTTCCAAATATGTCATGTTTGTGTATAAACTTATTTAAAAATTTTAGATTTTCATTGACACAGTGGCGCATAGAGCTGTTGCCTCTCAACGAGAAGATCGACGAATCGAATCCCAGCCGGGGGCCTTTCTGGATGGAGTTTGCATGTTCTCTCCGTGCATGCGTGGGTTTTCTTCGGGTACTCCAGTTTCCTCCCAGAGACCAAAAACATGCGTGTTAGGCTGATTGGTAACTCTTAATTGTCTCATTTGTTTCCAGGTGTCCCTGTGATGAGCGTGAAACCTGTCCAGGGTGTGCCCCACCTCTCGCACAGTGATTGCTGGATATGGGCACCAGTGACCTCCGTGACTTGAAAAGGAAGAAACGGGTAAAGATGATGGATAGATGGCTAAACATCCTTCAAGAAACTTAAATTGGACAAATAGAACCAAAACTGAACATTTTGATCAGTATTTTTCAAGTCAAATGATCAAATACCTGTTGTGGTCAAGCATCAGATGGATCAAACATCAGCTGGTGAACAGGAGGTGCTTAAAGAGAGTAAAACATCTTGGTTTGGATAAGAACTTTATAGATGTTTTTACTTACTAATGTTAAATTCTGAAGTGAAGACAGCCTTACTGTATACTCAGAGAGGGGTCTGACAACTGATGAACTCTGACGCCTTCAACAACTGAGCCGTGAAGCAGAGGTCGTGTCTTGACCTCGTCTGTCTGATAATGGGTATTTAAGCTGTTCTTAACTCTTTGTCCGTGGACAGACCATGTGATCAGGGCTTCGTAGAACATCTTGTCTGTTTTCAATTGCTGCACCTCCTTGCAAGGATTAAACCTGGGTTGAAAAGATCTTCTCGCATTTCCTTGTGTGGCTTATTTGATTAATGAGTTGATGATAGGATAATTAAAATATCCAACAAAAGCTTTAAAAATAAATCACTCAACTTCAACAGTCCTTTTCATCAAACAGATTTGATGACTGTAGGGATATCAACTGGGCCTGGTTTTTTTTTTTTTGTTTGTTTTTTTATCCATGTCAGGGCATTATTAGATTTTTTTCTAGTGAATTCTCAAATAAAATGCCACAACGTCATCTAAACAGAAACTGTTCACGCAGCAAGCAAAACGTTTTACCACGGAGTGGTTAAAAAAAGAAGAAAACTCATGTTTTCAGATGACAATGTGAAATTTATCAGTTTAAGCCATTCTCTAAAGGTATATTGTCTAAATAGTTTTTAATTTTAAAAACAATACTCATAAAGCTTTAACTTATAAATATCACCAAATCTAATTATTTAACAAAAACTAAGCCTAAAGGCAGAAGCAGTGTCAATAAGTATCCTGATGCATGCTCAATAATCCAGGTAGCAAAATCTAAAAAAGTTAAATCTGGTCCTCTGGACATTTAAAAAAAAATTAATAAATAAAAATGTTGAAAGATGAAAGTGTAAAAAAGTGTTTTTACTTCCTCTTACAGTAGCAATAACTTTGCCAAGTTTCTTTTTGAGTACTTAAAAAAAAATCTTGAGTCATCATTTTGGAAACGACAAAAACAACAGGAAGGTGATAAATTAAAAAAAAAAAATTTCATTTTATAATCTAGGGAATTTATGGATGTGTGCTGAATTTTATCCAAGCTTTGTGCGTCTTGGTAGTCATGATCAGGCTGTGTTGGCTTTATGAAAGAAACATGCCATGAATGTAGTAAATCTTCCTAAAGTTCGAGCTGTCTGGGGACTTTAGCGCAGCGGAAGCTGGAGAACACACAACAAATTGCGACAGGAATATTCACGAAAGCCAGTTTGGGCTTCTAGCAGCCGTCAAAGCAATATCTGGAAACACTTTTTCTTCTGCAACAACAAAAACATGCAGCATCCCAAATTTCAGAACCAGCATAGCTGCATCAAACCACATTACCCACCATGGTCAGGCCTTAGAAAAGAGGTTTATGCAAAAATTCGGTTCAGGCTAAGCGCATCAGCCCAGAGGACACATAGCATGAGAGCACAACTAACAGAGTGAGTCCAACCGTGGTCAAACAGGAGGGCTTATGAAGCCACTTCTAAATACCACACATGACATCAGCGCTTCTCTCATGAAAGCATCTTTGTGCTTGTAGGTGAAAAACGGGAGGATTTCCAATTAAACAAATGCTCCAAAATCTTTGGTTTCAGATTTCATTTGTGCATGTGTCTGGTCTTGCAGATAGTTCTGGCACTGGAGCGCAGAGCAGAAGAGGAGAGAATAAGACGGCTGCCTATTGCTCATTGCATCTAGTTGAAAGGAGCGTTGAAAATGAAATATTGTAACTTTTTTAAACAAAATGCGTGGGCAAGATAAAGTTACTTGCGACCAAAGTTGTTTTTTACAGCGCGTCTGTGCAGTTTGCTGCTCTGAGACAATTTCCAGTCCACTACAGCGTCAACCTTACGCAGGAGGCGTGAGAATTGAAAATGCAACATGTTATCCCTCTTGTGAAACCCCGCGTGCCTGTTCGTACAAGTCTGTGAGCTTTTTGATTACGTAGAGAAACCATAGGCCTTCAGTCAGGCAGAAGAGTCTGTGGAGTGGGGTGGACTGTGGGGCTTTACATGAGCCAACAGACGGCAGGAAATCAGGAAATGGGTTGAGTAAAGAGACAATACCACGGAGATTAGAGATCAGTTAACCCCTCTCCTTTTCGTGGTTGACATGTTTGCACACAGACTACAACTTCCTTAGATAAGCACATACTGAACACCCACAAACCTATTCAGACTCAGTTTTCTCACCCTGATTTTGACTGAAACTCTTGCTCTTGAGCTGCGCACATCCAATTTTATACAACCGCAGAAAATGAATGAGCAGCCACTTCCTCGCAGGTGAAGGGCGCAGCCAATCAACCAGCAGGACTTCACGTCATGAGAAAAAGGCAGACTCACTCCACAGACGGAACGATCAAATTCCACGGACTTGCCAAACGTCTGAAGTGGGATGACTTCAATTATACAAAGAGATGAGATCAAACCTGAGCTAAAGCTTCCACCTGGATGACTTTTGTACTCCGACCTCCCCCTGGTGTATCATTTACGTAAGGCGCGATTTCACCACCAGCACACCTGAAGAGCTTTCCGCAGTGCACGGAGTTTACAGAGTAGATTATCAATAAAAGGATTCATTGTTCAAATGCACTAAAGCAGGTAAGAAACTGTCTTAACAGCTTCTCTTAAGGTACAAAAGAGGGTCCTCGATGCGATATTTTGAATACTAAAGGTTATTGATCTGTCACAGTGAAGTAGATTACTTAATGTTTCACTGTTTCAAAGCTGAGTAATAAGGTTTGCCTTGTGACAGTTGACAAGCCCATTCATGTCAAGGAACGGTTGGCCTAGGTGTGCAGTTAAAAAAGGAAGTGAGATGCCTGACAGACACGGTTGTGCATGTGTGGGATTCTAATAATTTGTATTTACTGCACCAAGGCAGGTAAGTTTATGAACTCATTAATGTTTATCTGTGGTAGTTGTCCGAGTAGCCGTTGGCTAACAGCAGTGAAATGCTCAAATGTTTTATTTTGAACCTGCAGTTGTTTTCAAAGAAGTATTACTAATGCACGTAAAAAGAAATTGAGGATTTTTTTTTTCCTTGGCCAATCTGTTTTAATGACCTTCTTAGCTTTTAGTTGGCCATGAAGTGTTTCCTGAACATTGAACTCATGGATAAGACTCCTCCTTGGTTGACCTGACATGTTGGGAAAGGAATGCTGTTGTGTCCGCACTCTCCAGTCTCCTGCTGCTACTAAAGACACGATAAAACCTTTACGGGCCAACAATCCCTGTTTGCTAAAGTGGTTTACAAATTTACAGAGTGAGTGTTTCGAGTCACGAACATGAATCTAATGTGAGCAAAGCTGCTTGGAAACTATGAAATCAAAGACAGCTAGCAGATCATCTAATCGACAAGCCTGAGTTGATTTGGTTTGTTTTTATTAATAAAATCTTTACGTTTAGGTATTGGAAGGCAAAAAGTTTACTCTTTTTTTTTTGGTCGAGTTTTACTTTCAATGGATGACTTCTTGTGTTCCATTTTAAGAGATGTTTTGTTGGTTGGAATAAGATTTTTATTTTATGTAAACATATTTCAAAACATCAAAGTTTATGCTCAACAATCCAAGTAAAAAATCCAACAAAGTTCAATCAGGTCATCTGGATGTTTATTTTTTTTTTGTTGAGATGTTTCGTCCTTTATTTTACGCTTTTATCAGCTGTTATTGTTTTTGTTTTATTTCAAGCCCATATTTTGTATTTCTGTAAAGCACTTTGTGACTTTATCTTTGAAAAGTGCTATATAAATAAAGTTTACTTACTTACTTACTTCATCCAAAGGACTTCATCAGTTTGAGGAGCCACAACAAACTCAGTCCCACAAGCAGCACACTGACATAGTGGACCAACCAGTTCTGGGGCCTGCCCTCTCCCCCGTCGACTCCTCTGAGGTAGCAATATCCAAAGTGGTTCAGATGCTGCTTGTGGGACTGAGTTTGTTGTGGCTCCTCGGACTGATGAAGTCCTTTGGATGAAGGACAAAACGTCTCAAAATATAAGAAACTGCCCAGAAGACCTAAGTGAACTTTGCAGGGTATTTCAAAACAGCGCCATACATTCGAAAAGCAAAAGAAAGAATTTAAAGGAGCAATAGGATCAAATTTATTTTATCGACTTCCACATTCTGGGTCACTGCTCGCAGCAACTTGTACTCCACGGATTTAAAAAAGCATTTTAGCTATTTGCACTTTTTTTCATGAAGTATAAAAACATGTGTTCCACATTGAGCTTCTTTGTTTTTGACAGTTACGAGAGGAAAAATTACGTTCTTCCTGAAAAGACTGAGTAAGAAGATTGGGTATTTGCATTTTCTTGCTTTTGTTACTGGAAGTCTTAAGTAGATTAATAGACTTCCTCTGGAGGATTTGGACAATACCACACCTGCATTTATGGGAAGAAACGAGGACTGGGAAAATAAATATTTACAAATGAAGGCTTCAAAACACTTATTTGAGCACGCCTCTGCTGTTAAGCGTTGTTGAATTTCATTAGAGTAAAATCAAGTCCAACAGGTGCAATCTCTAAACAATGACTGACAAATCTCATTAAAGCAACACGTACAGCCCATTGCTAACATCTGGGGTTGAACAACACAACAAGCGCGAGCACAGACTTGTTTCAAACAACCATTCGTTATAAGATATATATCTGTTTTCTTTTGTTTTGATGCAGATGGAATTATGCCTTTGAGGTGCACCGTTCCCTAGGAATCCATTGAGGGAACAAGAAGAACGCAGGAGAGTGAAACTCAACCACGTCTACCGAGATGCCACTAAGAACAGCACTGCACAGAAAACCAAGTCGTTGGTCCAGCAGGAACTCTAAGCGGAGAGAGGTGCTTTCCGTCAACATGATCAGTTTACCGCTTGAAGATTTCCGCCACATCACTCATATCGGAAGTGCTGGTCATAAAGACAGCTTTGGAGATTTATCCTTTCTAAAGCTGGGCCACGGCCTGCTCCAAAAGAGCTCCCAAAGTGAACAGAACCTCATCCTGGCCTGCTCACCGCCTCCGAAGCCCCCTCGTCTGAACCTGAATGAAAAAGAGGATTCGCAGAGCCCTGAATGGTCTGTCGACCAGAAGAGGAAGAAGTGTGTCTCTTTGCCCCTGCTGGACAGTGATGAGGAACACGAGCTGGATAAGAAGGAAGGGTACCCAACAGGGAATAGCATTGCATCCAGTCAGACTGATAGGTTTGGACGAGGCAGCGTGAGTTCAGACATATGTGATGAATCTACGGAGAACTGTCCGAAAACTTCTGAACAGAAAGACGAGGACAGCGGTTTCTCATTCAGCCTCGACCTGGGCCCGTCGATCCTGGACGATGTTCTCAAGGTGATGGACAATCAGAACAGTTGAACAAGTCGCTCTTTCTTGACGTTTGGAATATCGAGATCAAATACAACTCAAGCCCATGTGAGGACGCACCCCTGATCGTTTAAACAATCCAGTATCATGAAACAAAGATGATATTTTGTGATCCCTTCACAAATCAACACTTAGCTCTTTTAAAAACACGTAAAAATGAGTTTCTGGAACGCCGTTTACAGACTCATACTGTTTTTCTTTTACACTTCTCCTTCACTTTTGTAGTACCACAAATCACACACTGAATAGAGCTGTTAAGACTTAAGAGTACGGTGTTTAGAAAAGCCAAGGCTGGAATCCAAGGTTTCTGAACCGTGATGTCTTGACTCTTTGCGTGCTTGCCAATCTATTCTGTGTAGAAAGCAATTTTAACTTTGCACGCATCTCAGGGGCCCCACTGCAAGGTAAACCAAGGTACCCCCCGTCTCCTATTCCCAACTGTACAATGAAAATAAACACTTAGCTCTGCTTTCAATAAAAAGCCAGCCAGTGGTAGCAGGTTGGGCAGCACACCAAGCCATGCCACAGATCCAAGACCTTAGAAGACGCAGCAAAAAAAGTGGATCAAGCTGTTTTCTTAGCTGCGAATCAGCGTCCGACGCTCTGGTTAGTGGTGCATAAGAAAGTGGGAACGGGGAACGTAATACACATGCAGGGGGTGTTAATTACTGCCGCAGAGGTCCTGATGAGGGTTTAAACACTACCTTCTGAACAAACACACGCCTGTCGTGAAAGACATGCATGCTGAATCTCACATACAGAACGCAAAGAGAAAGAAACACACATGAGCATTTCTGCTCGCATCATTAAACTGCTGATAATCCAAGTCTATTTTTGATGACAAGATGTTCTTTGGGAGGTAAATACCAAAAAAAAAAAAAAAAAGTTGAATTACTATGTGCCCCAAAGGTCATGAAACAAAATATGCAAACAAGTGTCCTGCTTCAGGCAACAAATGTAGAAGTGTGAGTCCAAACAGAAGCAGCAATAAGTTTAGAGCACATCTGCTCTGCATGTCTGTTTTGGAGTCAGACATCTGATTTCTTTGTTTCTTCTATGTGTTCCGACAATAGCGATTGTGAAACATTTCTTGCATTGTAAAAAGTACCATTTTGTACTTGGGTTGAGAAACACACAAAAAAATTATACATCATTTAAATTCCAACATTTGTGGTTTTGTGGATAAACTGCATGAGAATGTTTACCGACCCCAAAGGACTGACATTTTCTTGGCTTTTCAGCGTCAGAAGCCAAAACAGTGGGAATAAGGCTTGTATGTTACTGATATCTACCAGTTTTGGTTTTGTTTTGTTTCTTGAATACGATTTAGCCCTGTATACAACAAACTGCACCGTATTTCAAGGTTAGGATAGATGTCTTGATTATTATAGGTGGGTACGGCTAGGCCCAATACAGAGTACAAAATACTACAATACAATTAGAGACTAAATCATATGATTGTTTTTACTGCTCTGAGGTGCACCTGCTTCAGCCACAAAGATGATTGAAGTGTGTTAGGAAAAATAAGAGATTTTTTTCCAGAAAGATGTTATATTGCCTCATGTTCTGTGTTAGCTACAATAATAACCTTAAATGTTCAAATAATCGTTAGTCCACAAGTGAAATTCTCTTGAAACACGAAGCTAAAGCTTCAAATGGACTTTATTTTATGAGCAGAGTCCTAACCATCTACTACCTTCATGGAGGAAAAAGAAAATCAAGCAAGTGTACACCCATTTGACTGAAGCAGTCTGTAATTTATGGCAAGTTGTCTCCATGTTGCAAAACCTGTTTTAACTGTGGATATCCCAATTTATATATATATATATATATATAT